TCTCAAGCCCTCTTCGTATATTGAAGCAGCTTCTTGCAAAGATGCCGCACAATGGCAGTTGGCCATGATGGAAGAGATGGAGTCTCTTCACAGAAATGAGACATGGGTCTTAGTTAAAAGGCCAAAGGGGATAAGGACAGTTGGATGCAAATGGGTCTACAGAAAGAAAGAAGGTATTCCAGAAGTGGAAGCTGCTAGGTTCAAGGCGAGATTGGTTGCAAAGGGTTTCAGTCAGAAGGAGAGATTTGACTACAATGATATCTTTTCTCCAGTCGTGAAACATAGCTCAATTCGCGTGCTCCTAGCATTGGTTGCACAGTTTGATTTAGAGCTTCAACAGCTTGATGTCAAAACTGCTTTTTTACATGGTGATATAGAAGAGACAATCTATATGGATCAGCCTGAAGGTTTCCTAGCTGAAGGAAAAGAAGACCATTTATGCTAACTGAAGAAGCCTTTGTATGGTTTGAAGCAATCCCCTAGACAGTGGTACAAGAGGTTTGATGCATTCATGACTACACATGGATTTTCGAGGAGTGCATTTGATAGTTGTGTGTATCACAAGAAGATGTCTGGTAACTCTATGATTTATCTTTTGTTGTATGTTGATGATATGCTTATTGCTGCTAACAACATCACAGAGATAAATATTTTGAAGAAACTGTTGAGCAAGCAAGAAATTTGACATGAAGGATCTAGGAGTTGCAAAGAAAATCCTTGGAATGGAAATTTCAAGAGAAAATGGTGTTGTACATCTTTCTCAGAAGAGTTACATCCGAAAAGTTCTTGAAAGATTCAATATGGATACAAGCAAGCCTGTAAGTACACCTTTAGCTTCTCATTTCAAGCTTTCAGAGTTACAAATGCCTCAATCTATGGATGAGGTGGAGCATATGTCAAAGGTTCCTTATGCGAGTGCAGTTGGTAGCATTATGTATGCTATGGTATGCACACGTCCAGATATTGCCCAATCTGTAAGTGTAGTAAGCAAGTACATGGCAAATCCAGGAAAAAGGCATTGGGAAGATGTCAACTGGATATTGAGATATCTCAAAGGAGATCCTGATGTTGGCCTAACCTTTCGGAAAAGTGAAGGTATTTCAATTCTCGGTAATGTTGATTCTGACTATGCAGGGGATCTTGATCGAAGGAGGTCCACAACTGGATACATCTTTACTCTCGTTGGCAGTGTCGTTAGTTGGAAATCGACTTTACAGTCGATTGTCGCTTTGTCTACAACAGAGGCAGAATATATGACAGCAACGGAGGCAGTGAAAGAAGCTATCTGGTTGAAAGGTTTGGTGGCAGAATTGAGTTCAGCTCAGTTTAAATCAATTCTAAAATGTGATAGTCAAAGTGCTATTCATTTGATTAAAAATCAAAGATTTCATGAGCGCACCAAACACATTGATGTCAAATTTCATTTTATTCGAGATGTCGTAGAAAAGGGAGCTATCAAGGTTGAGAAGGTTATCACAGACGATAACGCTGCAGACATGTTGACCAAAATAGTCCAGCTTGCCAAGTTTGCACACTGCAAGGACTTGGTGGGAGTATGCATCAATTGATGCAACTCTAAGAGAACAACTGCTAGGTGGAGCTGGTATGTTCAACAAAGATTTGATTCTTCTTGTTTCTTACAATGGGATTGCCCAGTAAGCTTAGAAGTTTTGGCCGGAGTTGTTTATACGCATGCTTGGAACACAAACCAAGGTGGAGATTGAAAGAGTTGGTTTTGGTTCTTGTGGAATCAAACTAAATGGAAGATGAATTAATATGAATATTTGTTAGGAAGATAACTAGTAGGAAATACAAGTCAAAGATTGTATCTTGGTAGGTGAAAGTTAGGCAAACCATATAATGGTTTGCTATCTTAACCTTGACAATTTTGACACATAGCAATGTCATGGATGACATCAATAGGACGAATTTATTCCTATAAATAGGTAGCTCTTAATTCATTTTCAAATCATCCTTTCACTTGCCTTCTTACCTTCTAAGGCATTGTGTTCTCTCTCTTGTAGTATTTCACTTATATTCTTTGTATAGTGAAATAAATATTGGTGCAGTTGTTCTTTGGTGGACGTAGGATCATTTTGATCCGAACCACGTTAAATATTGTTGTTTTTCCTTGTTCTTTAGTTTCACGTTTCTGCTAACAGTATATATTTAAACTTGCCAAGTGGAGTCTTATTTTTACCTAATATAGAATTGAGCGATAAGACGGAAAAACGATCTTGTGTCAAGAACCAAGTTTAGTTATGAGTTTACAAAACCGTCAATGTATTATACTAATAAGCTTTAATATAATACAAGGTTTTGAAAAATTTACTTATCTGATACCATGGATCATTTGTGTTTAATCTTCAATTACTTGAGATACTTTTGGTCTCTTTACTTATAATATAGACGAATTTTCAGAATGTTTGTTTTATTATTTTATTATTCATGTGAAATAGTATACTCCTAATACTACTCCATTATTCAGGGCAATATCCAGATGAAAGACAGAAATTGATGAGTAAAAGAGTATGATTGCCCACCCGCCTGACTTATATTTATAATATTGAATAATCAAAAAAACAATCCTATTACAACTACAATACATAGAGATCAACTCTAACACGAACTCTAACATATCCTTCTAAAAATAATCTAAATATAACATATTTCTCATATAAAGTAATCAAAAAGACATATTTTAATTGAAGGTTAAATGTTTTGAATCAAATTTCTCAATGTGAAGAAATGAATTTAAGGTCCCTCAAAAGTCAAATCCTTTTCTTTTAAATAAGTAGGAAAATATTTTTATAAATAAATAACTATTCAATGTCCATAAATTTTAATAATAAAAAAAATAACAAGATAACTAATTTCATTATAATTAAATCCATTATATATTGTGCTCAATTTAGCATATGCCAACAAATAAACACTTCAAACTAAAGGTGAAAGGGCCATTATCTAGTTCTTGTTAAGTTTAATATCTATTTTCCCAGTAATGTATTTTTTTCTTGTTTCTTATTAATATTTTTGGAGATTAGGGTTTTACAATTTGGTCTGTGTGTGTTTGGTGGTGGTGCTGGGGGGGGGGGAGGAGGAGCTAATAGCTGCTTGTGAGGTGTGCGGAGGGTACAATGTAAGTAGACCTTTACTTTATGGGGGTGTGAGATAAAAAGGCTGTTTTTTCATAGATTGAGGTGGAACCATGATTTTTACTAGCTAAGGGGTTCAAAATGTGAATAACTATATACATGATTTAGCTAAAGAGGGGTCCGAATATATTCTATATACATAAAAATAATTTTAGCCATGTATATATAGCATAATTTTTTATTGAAGGATTCATATGAATCACCTTGGCCAAAGTTAGCTCCTCCCATACCAATAGACCCTTAGCTCGTAAAAAAGGACTAATTTCTTAATGAAATTGACCTATTGAATAGAAGTATATCCAATGCAATTCCACTAGTAGGGTCTTGGGAGGGTAAGATACCCCTACCTTTGTTTGGGGTAGAAAAGGCTGATTTGGTAGATTCTCGAATGGATAATGAAGACGATGAATTTGAATCATGGTAGTAAAAAAATATGACAACAGAATAATAAGATACGAGCAACATATAGTAGTTTTATATTGAAGAAAAACAAACAAATGGGACAACATTCTCGATCGACTCTACTAAACTTCTAGCCTAATGACAGATCCTCGACCTCCATACCTTATTGTGTAGATACCTCTACTAAAATGTTTGAGATTCTTTGGAATTTTAATTCGAATAACAAATCTGTTTATTCTATTTATTTGTAAAGAATGCAACTTTTCATGCTAAGAGAAGATGGATGATTGATTTAATTTGAACGAGACACGCCCTTCCAGCTCTTCTTACATTTATCACTTGTTAATTTTACAATGTGACCAATGTTTTATCCAGATAGTTTGGAGATGTAGTATATTTCCATGCTTCTTAAATCATCAATAAGCTGAAAAAGTAAAGTTTTGATACATCGTTCTTAGGTGGAGTGCGATGATAATAATATACCAGACCTTAAATCTCTGGAAGTGGAACACTTCTCTGATGTGACGTTTAATCACCTTAGGGAAATTAAGCTACTGCAAACTAATGGCACAATCCCTGAGATACATCTTATTAAGCTTCTGTTAGCCAAGTCTCCCCAGCTGACAAAAGTTTTAATCGAGCGATGTCTAGTTGAAGATAGCGCAATTGTCAAAATACTTACTGAGATAATACAGTTTCAGCGGGCATCAACCAAGGCTAAAGTTGTCTATAAGTCGGATAAGCATCCAAGTCATGGTCCTGTTGGATTTTCACGCGTCTTTCGTCGATAGAACCAAGTGTTGATACAGTAGCATAACACTACGTTTTGGGGATATACACTAATATGGATGGATATATTGTTTCTTCAACTTTTTTGTTATAGTAACTTCTTTACTTCCATTGTTTTCTCGAACTGCTTTGTTATACATTTATTTGAACGAGAATGAAACAACCTCTCTACTTCCCAAGGTAGGGATGAGGTTTGCGTACATACAACCAACCCTCTTCAGACCTCACTTATATGATGACGCTGAGTATGTTTTTGTTTCTTATGCTTGAAATGAGACTTGCAACAAGAATTACTATTGTTTGCTTATTTCATACTTCAAAGTTTGCAATTAAACACTAAAAACTTCCTTACCCTTTTTGCCGAAGCCCAAAGCATCATGCCCCTACTTTTTAGAGAAGATTTGGTATTGTATCCATCTTTATAACTTAATTTACTCTATACCCACTTAATTTATTTTTGCTTTATTTTCTAGCGTTGGGTTTTTTCAAAAGGAAAAAAGTGGGGTCATGGATGTCTTTGGCCTTTAAAACTTGGGATATATTTGTGAATATGGGGTCATTGGCTTGTTTATTATTTTTAAAACTTGGGAAAAAGATATAACTTTAGAAAAATATATTATAATCCAATACATTTTTAAAAATATTATTTATTGATGAAAATTGAGGCACCTTTTCTGAATATTTGTTTCGACGTTTCTTCTCCAAGTGCAAGGGCTTTTAATCTTCCTTATACACTTCTGTCCCATGGTAATCAAACCATACTCTTCCCCATACACTTCTCTTCCATTAGCTTATACAATATTTTCATCGTCCTATGTTTTTCTCAATATCTTCCCCAATTTCAATGCCCTCATCTCTGGTAAGTTGAACCTTCTCTAATGGTGTTCTTCGGTAATTATTATCCATATTTGTTTTTCTCTAATGGGAGTACAATGAATTTAATGGCCCCTTTTTGTAGACTGTTTTTTATGTTCTTGTTTGGGATGATGTTTTTCGCCGGATTTGGTGTGCTTGTTGTCTCTAATGACGTTTTTATTTGTACATAAATATTTTTCCCTATTTGGTTACTTATTTTTTTTTAAAAAACTTTTATGTTTATTTCGCCTATTGATTTTGAAATTTTTACTAAACTTTGATCGATTTTAGTGGAGATTCTGTCAATCTCATTGTTGACTCTTGAATCTGCTATTTAATTTGCATGTTTTATTTTAGGATTACTCTTTTTATGTTATAAACTATTGGTAGATAAATATGTTTTCCCTTGTAGATTAGAAAGTGGCTAAAACTAGAGATGGAAACACTAAACCATCTGTTCATGTTGCTCTTACAAGTATGAAACGAAAGGCTGAAGAAGTTTTAAAAACATGTCAAAAAGAAAAAAATTGTAGTCAAAGAACACGAGCTTGATTCTGAAACTGAAAAAACGTCGGAGATTGACATCTACCAGGATAGTAGTGTTGATGTTAGTGATAATGTTGAGAGAAGTTAAGGAGAAAGTGATAGCGAGATGAGTAGTAGAGATGCTAGTCAAGATGAGGATGATCCTCTATCATTGCCAATTTGTGCAAGAGATATTTGTGATGAGTTGTATGACCTAGCGACGTGGTTAGATGAGGAAGGATCATTTCCAGCAAAGATCTCTCTAAGATCAAAGATGACAATTTTTCATGACTTTAGGAAAATTTTGGGTGAACAAAAACTTTATAATGAATTTAAGGGTATTTGCTTCGGAGATTTGATACATATTCCCGATTATTTAATAGTCAATGCACATATTGTCCATTATATGTTGTTACTACATGTGAGAATTGACAAAAATTTGCATGAAATTCGATTTTGTGCGAATGATAAGACTTCATGTTTTGACTTAAAATAATTTAAATTGATTACAGGCTGAATTGCTCAGCATACTCCGTGAATCAAAACTAAACAAAGTCCTTAGAAAATTTGAGGATTTTCATTTAAAGGTGACAAGGAACAAGAACATCATTGGTGCAAAGTTGTTGAATTAATAAATAGTAACAAATTAAATGAGGAGCGGAAATTGAAGTTCTCTTTAGTTTGGTTTATCCACTCGATATTGGTTTCCCATGATCGGTCTACGATTGTGGGTTTAAACGACATCAAGACGGTAGATGATTTGGATTTCTTCAACAGTCATCCATAGGAAAAAGAGTCATTTGATTAGACATTAACCTATCTAAAGAATCAAATTAATTTGTGGAAGCAGGGGAAAATGTATACTGAAAAGAAGAATGCATCTTATGGTCTGTACGACTTTCCCTGGACATTAATGGTACTTATTATCAACTATTTATTTGATTTATGATATACTCTTATTCATTTTTGTGGTACCTCATAGACTCTATTTATTTGTTTGTTACTCTATGAATATCTGGTTTGGATATATCAGATTTTTTCATTTCTTGGAAAGTATACTGGGAAATCCTTGAACAATCCACTACCCATTCCCCTTTTACTCAGATGCTACACATCAAACAACGATAATATAGTTGAAGGTGATTTATTTAAGTACAAAGGAAGACGCATGAAGTTATACATATATTTGTTATTACATAACGATATTTTTAAATAAGTCAATATTGTATACTATTTATATATTTTTTAGTTTATGCACCCATACCTTACCCCTACTGTTTGTGAGATGGAGCAGAATTACATGGCAACATTTAAGTCATATACAGATGAAGATAAGGTCACAATCATAGATATCTTGAAGGCCCAATTGAAAGGCGTGACCGTCCTCACTTCAGAAGTAGAGAGCGCGGACGATGAATATTTTGGTGATCAAAATATTATTCAACGTTGTGTGAATTCAGTTTCTAGTAAATGGAAAGATGTATTGAGTTCTTCTAATGATGGAAATTTGGAAAATCTGAGTAATCGTGTTGTATCCCTTGAGAATTTAATGGTGGAAGTTGTTGCTTATGTACAGGAAGAAAGATTGAGGAGAGTTGTTTAGAATTAAAAAAATAACAAGAAAAAGGTAAATTAGTATATACGTTGTTAGTGTCAATTATTTTATTCCTATGATATTTTGTTAAAGTAATACAGTACATGTCGACCTTGTAGCAGTTGATGAAGATCTTGCAGAAAGTGATGAAGAACTTTTTGCAATTGATGAATTCCTTACAGATGAAGTTAATGAAGTGGCAGATGATGTTGTTGATAGAGTTACAAGTGATCTAGTTGATGAAGTTGCAATTAATGCAATTGATAAAGTGACTGGTGTTGTAGTTGAAGAAGTGGCAATTGACATTGTGGCAGTTAATGTAGTTTATGATGTGGTAGTAGTTCTACTTCCGTGAATATTAATATTGATTTTGTAATGTCATATTTGAAGGGTCTCCTTCAATTCAGATACTTTTGAAAGTAGGTTCTTAGCGGCTACTTTAAGCCGCAATTATCCCTGTATGCTTAACTTTTAATATTAATAATATTGTATATCTTTTCAATAAAAAAAATTAGTCATTGACATTTGGCAAGAATAAAGACTTAGGGTGTGTTTGGTATGGAGGGAAATGTTTTCCATGAAAAATATTTTCCTAGAAAATGTTTTCCTGAAAAACAAGTAGATTTTGGACTTAGTTTCTCATGTTTGGTTCATGAGTACAAAATATTCTCAAGAAATGATTTTTAGTGTGTGATTTATGAATGAAAATGTATTTGAGAGACATCTTTTATTTTTACAAGATTAAAAATAATTTATGACATTGAAAATATTTTTCAAAATCAGAATTATTATTTCTTGGGGTGGTGGGTGTGGGGTGGGGCAGGGGTAGGGGGAGGGGAGGGTATAGGAGTGAAAAAATAAAAATTTGAAGTTGATAGTATTTTTAAAAAATAAAATTAATTTTTTTGGGGATTGGGATGGGTGGGGGCTGACCGGGGGTGGGGGGGAGGGGGAGGATTTTAAAAATAAAAATTTGAAGTTGAAAATATTTTTGAAAAGCAAAATTAATTTTTTTGGGTGGGGGTGGGGGTGGGGTGGGGGGCTGGCCTGTGGGGGGATAGTCAACGATAAGGTTAAAAAAATAAAATTTTGAAATTGAAAATATTTTTTTAAATTAATGTTGTTCCCAAAAAAAAATGTAATTTGAAATTGAAGGAGTGTTATGGAAAATGTTTTTCTTAATTTTTGAAGGGAAGTTATTTTCCTTAATTTTGAGTAAAATGAGTTGATTTGGAAAATATTTTCCAAAACTTTTGTTCCAATCAATCATGGGAAAATTATAAAACATTTTCCAGAAAATATTTTCCTTCATACCAAACACACTCTTAATGAGCTCAAATTCAATCGATTGTGTGAGCCCAACGAATAGATTATGGGCTCCTAGGATATTTAATCTGATAAATCATGATGTAGATTGAATTCTTACAACAAAACTATGAACCGTAGAGGAAATGAATTGACAGAAATAGCCTAGTTGATGTTAAATATATAATATTTCAGAGACATGTCCTAGTGATGAAGCACATTTAACACTCCTTACAAAATGTCACTAAAGCATATAGTGGCAATAAATCAATTGACACTTAACTAGTATAAGTGAAGACTTTCACATTTTTTGTTAACATGTATATTTATTGTTGCTAAAAGTTGTCTTTATTATAATGAATATAGCAGTTGCGGATGTCAAAGAACCAACTGTGATGTCTTAACAATTCCAATATAATAAATTCATGTTCAAAGATCAAACCAACCATAAAAGTAAGTCTGAGTAGATAACAATACAACATTTACATATGGATTACGAAACACATATTCTGTTTTGATAGTCTGCCCAACTTTTTTCTGCTTGTGTCGCAAGAGAATCAGCCACATCTTTCTTTAATGAAGGAAATTCATCTCTTAGTTCTTCCAATTTAGCTTCCAAGTGAGAAAGTTTGGTTGTTAAATTCATTTCTAGTGCTTCGATCTCCTTCAAATTTGAGATGGAAGCATCCATTCCAACGAGGTCTTTGAGTTCAGTGTGAAGCTCCTGTTTTTTAATAAGATCATTGACCAACGTTACCTTCCTGGCACTCTCTTTATAATACTCGTCCATCTGCTTCTTTGCCTCCTGAAAATTTGCCTGTAGAAATGGAAGATTTCTTCTGAGTTCCTCCAAATCATGTGCTTTCTCAACCGAGAGATCAGGTGATTCAACATATATAGGAAGAGCAGCTTCTAAAGATGAATAGTTTTTTGGGATAAGCACTTATTGCAGGTGACTTGACATCGGAAGATAAAGGTTCAACATTCTAGAAAAAAGATTTAAAACATAACGTCATTTCTACTTATAAACAAACATATTCTCTACAAGAATGTGTAGTTACTTCATCAGCGATAGAATTCTCATGATGATTAACAGTCAAGTGACTTAAGCCAGGTACACCAGCATGTTCGACATCCTTAAAAAAGAAAGAGAGGAGATTAATATTAATCGACAAAAATTGCATTTCTAAAGCAACATTTTGACTTCATGCATTTAACTTACTGGAAGGACCAGTTCCCTCTTTGCATTTTTCGAAGGCCTGCCATCTTTTTCTTGCCGCAAAATAGAGTCTACAAGAACTATAAGGAGCTTAAATGTATTATACATGGAGGAAACAATTTCGTATACAAAACCTTTATTCCTTCTAATTTTGATTGCTTCCTCGCTGATAATCCTCTCTAGGATCTGCCCATCTGATTCGTTCCGTGTTCTTCTTATGTAAGTTGACCACCACGACTCAAATGATGGCGTACATTTTGGATTAGGATGAAATTTGACAACTGAGAAATTTCTCTTCAGTTGATCAAACTTCGAATCCACTTATCTAATTCTACTTTCTGAGTTTAAAACGCTTCTTTCGACCGGTGAAGCATTGAGTGATCGATGAGCAGGTAGCGGAACTGTATGTGTCAATCCAAACTGCCGCGAACTGATTTGGACAGTAATATTCCACTCCTGATTTTCCAACACTAGAGTTGCCTACTGCAAGACCATATTGGAGTTCTCGAGGAATAAGGAAACGAGACCAGATATAGTTTAGAGCTAGCTTATTTACTAGAATATGCTACCTCAATAGCAGCCATCCAGATTAATATGGAGTGAACTGGCTAGGAGATATGGAGGAGCATGAGTAGAATAACTCAAAACATTTTCGGAAGCTGCTCTGTTTTAAATTCCCTTGAGCCAGGGAAATCCCTGAAGTCTTATAGTTTTGTGTATTGTATGGGAAAGGTCTGTACTGAGGAAAGTATAACTGCAGCCAGAGCTGTAGGATCCAGAAGGGGCCCCCTGCAAGAGCAAATCCTCGGGTAACTAAGCTTATACAGCCTCAATATAGATGAGATAGTATGAAAAGAGCCAAAGCAACCTTTCTGCATGAAGCAAGAGCTATGGCTTGTCGATTATACTCCTTCACTACCATAGATGAACCAACACAAAATACAAATTTGCAGAGCCACATATTGAGGAATGCCAAATGTCTCTCCTCTGTTACGTCCTCTCTTTGTGTCTTCACTTTGATGAACTTCTCAGAGTTAATTTTCTTACTCTTCTCCCTCTTTGGACACTAGATGTCGAGGACTGAGCTAATTGCCTCACCATGAGGCCTGATTCCTGTCAAAGCAGAAATATCGAACACCGTTGGACTCATTATCCAAAAATTGAAGTGGAATGCATTACCCGATGTAGACCAAAAGCATAATGCATAGTACAAAAGATTGCGGTTACAAGGTATGTTGACTTTGGATAACTGTATAGTATCATATATATTCGCAATCTTCCAGGTCTCCCACTTAAACTTCTCCATTCTGTCAACCCAACTGATCCATCCTTCCGTTGCAGTTGGCCATGACTTCCACGTGTCGTTCATCTGCCAACTAGGTTGCAGTGAGTATCCGAGGTTTGATTTGGAATATAACCTCCCAGGGTAAAATGATCTTAATCAGTAGAGTATAGATACCAAAAACTATACTGTCAGCGAATAAATCCACAACAAGAAAGTACATGAAGAAATATGTGTTTTTAAGAAGAAGGAAGATCAGAAAATTTGTAAGGAAATATTCTGAAGACTGAAAGGTATTTATAGGCAAGAAAAATATATTCTGAAAGGGTTGACATGACCTTTAATGAAAGGTTGCAAACTTTAAAATGGTATTGACTGTTCCTGAAAGTTGCAACCTTTCAGAACAGTCATGGCGAAAATTTTTAAATATAACAGAATTTAAAACGGGTCACGCGGGATCCAATTTGGGTCGGGTTAACTAAAAAGTTGAAAACATTTCGGTTAACTTCTGTTATCAACTAATTAATTGAAAATAATTTTTGGCCATTAAATTAATTAAATAAATAATTAAAATAAATTTGTCCAAACAATTATCTCTCAATCATTTGCCAAAGCCAAAGCCAAAGCCGTAGCCGAAGCCGAAGCAGAAGCGAGCGAGCGACGACGACGACGGCACGAGGGGGGTCCCTCTTTCCAACCCTTTTAACAATTAATAGGAGTGTTTATTTATTTAAACTCTCCTATTTTCATTTCCGTTACCGATGAGGTACTATTGCATTTTTCATTAAAGCATTAGAGGACTTTTCAAGTTCCCAACCTTTCAAGTTCTAAACTTTTCAAATTCCTCTCCTTCCCTCTATTTCCCATTAAATCTTGCTACATACCCAACAATCCCCCACATTGATGGGGAATAGTTATAACATAGGAATGCACGGACAATTGTGTACTTTACAAGCAAAGATTAATTGCATCTGGATAAGTAGGTTTCCCCTTGGACTTTCCGTAGTGAACATACGTCGGATATACTCGGTCAATCGGTAGATGTGATATCTTTGAACCGTCGAACTTTGGTGTATACCTAGACAACCATATGTCACACAATTAACCCTTTACTGTTTACGATTCTTACTGTTGTGTTCGTTTCAGCCATGAACACCTCCTGGTTTCATGAGTATATAGAGAATAGGCTTTTGACATAAAATTCTCTTTGAAGCGGCTTCCACTTCACGCTCACATAAGTGATTTCTAACCGTGTCATCTAGTAGATACACTATTTGGTCAAATCTACCAAACATAGCAAATCATTAAAAATTTTAAGCTTTATTACCTCATTAACAAGCCTTAGAGTCTTAACCTTTTCCTAAACATTGTCTTCATCATGAGAATGGATTGAGTTAATTGATAATGTCGAACCGTCAGCCACAACTTTGTTTTTCTCCTTGAATCTAGCTCTTGGGACTTCCAGTCTGCTAGATAGAGTTACTGTCATGCTGACTTGTCCTAAGCCGTAAACCCATTCCCTTAGATGATCTTTCAACTGCCTCTCTCACTAGGCCTTTCGTTAGTGGATCTGACACTTTATCGCTTGACTTTACATAGTCAATTGTGATAATTCCACTAGAGAGCAGTTGTCTTACGATGTTATGTCTACGTCGTATATGACGAGACTTC